CACACACACACACACACACACACACACACACACAAACATACACACTACCGGCCAAAAGTTTGGGATCAGTAGGACTTGTAATGTTTTTAAAGAAGTCTCTTATGCTCATCAAGGCTGCATTTATTTGATCAAAAATACAGAAAAAAAACAGGAATCTTGCAAAATATTATTACAATATAAAATAACGCTTTCTATTTTAATATCCTTTAAAATATAATTTATTTCTGTAATGCAAAGCTGAATTTCCATCAGCCATTGCTGATTTATTATTAGAATTATCAATGTTGGCAACAGTTGTGCTGCCAGATATTTTTTTTGGAAACTGCGATACTTTTTTCAGGATTCTTTGATGAATAAAAAGTTAAAAAGAACAGCATTTATTTAAAATATAAATCTTTTCTAACAATAGAAATCTTTGCTATTACTTCTTAATAATTTAACCCATCCTTGCTGAATAAAAGTTTTAATTTCTTTCAAAAAAAGAAAGAATAAAAATTTACTGACCCCAACTTTTTGAACTGTAGTGTATATTGTTAGAAAAGAATTCTATTTTAAATAAACGCTCTTCTTTTTAACTTTTTATTCATCAAAGAATCCTGAAAAAAAGTATCACAGGTTCCAAAAAAATATTAAGCAGCACAACAGTTTCCAGCACTGATAATAAATCAGCATATTAGAATGATTTCTGAAGGATCAAGTGACACTTTATACTGGAGTAATGGCTGATGGAAATTCAGCTTTGCATCACAGAAATAAATTAGATTTGAATGTATATTAAAATAGAAAAATTTTATTTTACATCATAATAATATTTCACAATATTACATTTTTTTCTGTATTTTTGATCAAATAAATGCAGCCTTGATGAGCACAAGAAACTCCTGTAAAAAACATAAAAAATCGCTCTGATCCCAAACTTTTGACCGGTAGTGTTTAAAGTATATATATATATATATATATAATTTAAAAAAGGAATGTTCTGTCATTGACCCAGATGCTTGCCAACCAACACAATATAAGTGACATGATTTGCTCCAAATGCTGAAGGGTGACATAAATTCACCTGTTCCACTAAAATGAGATCTGCAAGACCTTAGGGGTCAGGTCAGCGGTCAGCAACCCTGACCCAGACACAGCCTCAATTGAGAAATCAAACACTGTGTCATTGTTCAAAAAAAAAAAACAACAATCAGCAATTGTATCATGCAGCCTCTTACAAAATGATCCCACAATGCACTCCCACTCGTCACTGTGTGCATGACACATGTGTATACACCTTTCAAACACACTCAGCACGCATCTAACAGCTTCTGACATCCATCAAGATTCCATGGGATGCTGAACTCATGACCTAGACTTCCAGATCTAGAGCTGCCTTAACCTCTCAAAAAAATGATATTTTACCCATGAACAACCTCAAAGCATATATTCTTACTGCTCTCGCACATGCACGTTTCCTAAAAACCTGGTAAAATCAGACTAGGCAGTGAAGGCATGAACATGATACCAACCAAAGCATGAAATCGTTCCTAAACCTCAGATCAACTCTGATCAGCTTTAGGAAGGGAACCGGAGACAGAAACAAAAGCATTCTTTTCTTTCATAGCCACAGCTCTTCACTGCTCCAGTGAACACACAGACGACCGTTCACGTGCAAACACCCAAGACTGAAACACACTAGACTAGAGGGTTAAAGGGGACTCACACTTACACTCAAAAGCAACGTGGATGCTTCTCAGGCAGGTTCCATTGTTGTTTTCTGAGATTTCAGCAGGGCCTGGCGGCTGAATAGCACAATAGATCCCTTTCCCTCTGTCTCTAGACCCCCTCCCCAGATGAATGCACCGCTCGTTGTCCCCACTCCTAGTGTACTCTCACTGTCCAAGCAACAGCTGTGATGTCACAAAGGGGCGGCTGGCTAAAGCCAAACCATGTCTACTAGGCTACGCAATTGGCTAAGGCAGCTTGAAAGAGCCAGGACATTTTTAATATAACTCTGATTGTACACCGTCTGAAAGAAGAAAGTCATATACACCTAGGATGGCTTGAGGGTGAGTAAATCATGGGGTAATTTTCTTTTTTGGGTGAACTATCCCTTTAACTGGACCTCATCCTGACAGTAGACCATGAATAGCTAATTTGCATGTCCTAATCATTTCTTACTATCTATCTCTCTCACTCTCTGTCCTGTGGGAATATTTCTGGAGGGAATGCATGGATAGCTGGGTACATGAGATGGGTCAGAAATAATCTGATCCTTCAAATAACTAATGTTTATTTGTGTGTGTGTGTGTGTGTGTGTTTTCAGAAGAGATGCTTAAAAACACTTAATGCCTTAAGCATATAAACAATACCAACAAACAGGTCAAAGACTTCTCCATTTAATAAAGCACTTGCCATATGTAAAGTGGAGAGTTTTAATGAAGCTAATGCACATGTGCTTTTTGCAGATGGGTGTGAGTCACCCTGCGGATCAGCCTCTGGCGCTTCAGTGGAAAAACTCACTTATACAGTATGTTTATCAGTTTAGGAGTATAAATTATGCAGAAGTGTCCTCATTCTGTGGTTGAGGACTGAAAAAGTGTTTTCTGAATAGTGAGTAGAGGAGCAGACCCCTGAGAGTTCAGAGGGGTTGCGGTTCTGGAGGGCTCTGACGCATCCATCAAAAAAAAAAAAAAATAATAAAAAAGCAGAGCAAACATGCGATAATAAAACACTGCCAAGGGCATTACAAGATACATTCGATTAATATGCTGCCTAATGCAAACATTCAATTTTTCTTTGGATTTTAAGTGGGTAATCTTTATTTTGTTAAATATTTTCTGCTTTTGCAGTTTAATTTGCGTACACACCTTTAAGTAAGCCAATTAGAGTGTGGTTGTGGTGCTTTCAAAAAGCCTGGTACATCAATTTCTGGCTCAACCAATGGCGTGAGTTTGGGGCGGGACTAGCTGAAAGAATCTTTATTTCTGATATTCCATTTGACGTCACAGGTGATGTAGAAATTACATATGATGAAACGGATATAGCGACAGATATTTTCTTCTGTATTGTGACTTACATCCAAGAAAAACAAAAACATATCGAAAATGAAAAAAAAAAAAGATTCTATCTATTTTTTGTTGATTAGATGGAGGTGGGGTTTAAGCAAACTAGATGATTGGAGAAGTCTGGAATATCAAAGAGGAGACTGTCAGTTGCATGATCGCAAGATCGAGCTATGATGTTTTGATTAAAAATTTCAAAAACTTAAAAAAATGAAACATGCCTGGATGAATCATTCTCAATATGATCTTTTAGAAAACAAAATTTTACTTAAAAAAAAAAAATCCTGTTCTTATTGTGTATGATTCCTTAATTTGTTATTCCAAAGAAAAAAATGCCTTTGTAATCTTTCATCCAAATCAAAATGAATTGAAATGAGTTTCCTATTCCAGTGACATCATGTAGACAGTAGTCTATTTTAATATAATAACCAATCACAAAAAGCTATTCAGAGAATATTATACAGAACTCTCATTCAGGTCTTTTGCAGTAGCGCAAATCCAATCCAACCAATTCTCAATGGGTAGGTGCTACACTTTTTTTCCTATTGAATAACAATTTAAGTTGAAAATACATATAAAAGATATGTATAAGATTATACATATGCATAAATGTAGTGAATTAGCAAAGGAGTTGTGCTACCAAACTATACTCAACAGGAACATTAAATTTGATCATTTATTCAACTTAGCACACCATCAGTATATTCATGCTGTGTGTGGCAGCATTTTTTCAAGCTCTCCTGACCCTTCATTAATTCCTCCCTCCCCCATTTCTCTCTCACTCTCTCTTTCTCAGAAACACCTTCATAATGAAGGAACAATAGTCAATAGTATCTGAAACCAAGCCAAGAAAGACTAATTCTCCCTAAGACCCCTTATACTGACGGAAATAACACAACATACTGATCTCTTGGGAATAATTCAGCTTCAAAATCAACCCCAACAAGCCTGCGGAGAAGTAAGATGACTTGAGAATCCTTTAAAATGATTGTTTTGAACGATGTGCACGTTGTCATGCTCATTTTATCGCATTACAGCATGCTTGATCACATCAAACACACACATGCATAATGCAAACACATCCATGCATTGCTCAAGTGGCACTGGGACTCTCTTATCTCATGCTGCTTCACATGAACACTGGCATTCAAAGGAAGACTCCTTTAGGTATACTTAAAATCAGTTATTCTCTTCTCAGTTATATCTGTCAGTGAGTTCAACATGTTAAGAGGTCCTGCACTGTAAGCTACTGTATAAAAACAGTTTAATTTTACTTACAAATTTAAGTACATTTCCTTAACTATGCTGGCAAACTGACAATTTTGCAAGAGACATTCAAATCAAAACTAACAGAAATCCACATGTGTTCTTCACATCACACATCCTTCCATCCTAAGGCTAGATCTATTTTGTCCCTGTCATAGCTCAGAGAATGACTTCTGCATATTAAAATGTGCTATACATTTCTGATTAAAGTCAGTGTGATCACGTAGGCATAATGTCATTTATATTTAATTTTCATGCTTGAATTTTCTAAAAATATTAATTAACACTCAGAATAATAGAGGAAAAAAGTCTAAAGCCATCTACCAAAGAAAGCTAAAATAATATCTGCCACCATTAACTGATTATGTCAATAGACTTCAGGAAGCACAATTTTTTCCCTTTTGAATCAAAACAAAGATAGTGTACATATTTTAGGTACAAGCAGACAGAAGAATCAGCAAAGGCTTTAAAATAGAAACTGGCTATATTTGTATTAAGATTATGAATGTCACATCAAACTAGCTGTGCATTTAAGTGCGTTTATGAACTGGAATGCCTGATTGGGTCTCTATAAACCAGGCTGAATGAGTTAAACTGGTTCTATTGACCATAATAATGACATCACAAACATATCACACCGAATAGACGAAACACACATCTCAAGTGAATTGCTCTCTCCTGTTCACATGCACAAACAAAAACACGTAAGAATACCCTGCAGGGGAGGTTAGGTAGAGTAATGGTCACTCAGGCAGCTATAACTATCACAGTAAGGGTTGTATGTCACTGGCAAGGCATTTAATGTGATCCTACAATGGGAAAGAGCACAAAAACAAGCACACACACATACATGAACAATGGCCATAGATAGCTATTCACGTCACTACACTAAAGCTGAGACATCTGTCAGCTGAGCTGCCCTTCCATCCATCAAAATCTCCAACCAAAGGACGTCAAACACCTCTCAGTACCAATCAAGGGAAGTTTTACAGTCAAACCTAGTGTAAAATCATTCTGAAAAAGCATTTTATTTGGTTTTATCACAAAAAAAGCTTGCTTCACAATTTTGTTCTACCACATTTTATTGGACCACAGAGTTGATAGTACAGAGAGCATTAGCACATATGGATAATCGTGTTCCTCTAAAAGTACATCAGCAGCTGGATCAGTACAGAAATGTCTCCAATAGCAAACTGTGAACCTTAATGTCTGTGAAATTGTTATGCAAAAATGTGTCATACATTGAATGTTAATATATAAGAAATGGCCTGTGTGAAAGCATAATCACCGATGGGATCTTTGTATCCCAGTTGGTTCTTCATCATTTAAAAAGCTCAAATTAAATATTAATATATTATGAAAAAAATATTTATTTGAAATAAATATTAATTAACGAACTTTAAACTCTAAACATAAATGATAAATGTTGCCTTGGCAATGAACTGAAAATAAGCTGAAGTACTTTGAAAATTGAAGTAAAACTAAATTAAAGCTAAAAAATAAATAAATAAAAACTTCTAAAAATGCCAAAAAGCACATTACAAAATTACAAGAATTAAGCTATACTGTTAAAATGAAAACTAAAAATACAAAAAGCTAATTTAAAATATTAATACATACTATATTAGCACTTAATTTGAACTTAATTGTCTTGAACTATAAAAAGGTCAACCAACAATAAATGAAATTTCCCTCTTGGGAACCATCAATGCTAATTAAAATAATCACAGACATTTAAAGCACATCAACAGCTGTATTTTAATTATGTCTACAAAACAATATTATAATGAGTGTCACCTGTCATGCCCCCAATTGTGCTGTTATGTTGTCATTATTACATTATTTATGGCTGCCTGCTTGGATGATTACAATGACTGTAACTGTAACATCATGTCACTCTAATAGGGTGCAGCATTTAAGTCAATAAATGGTGAAAAACAAAATGGTTTTATTCCAGAATATATCAGATGATCAGTTGCTGGATCATTAAGATGTATCACACATCTTTAGTCTGCAGACAGTTCCTATCATAGCGAAGAGACAGGACGCCACTGTGATACCAAACATGCTCATCTGGATTTGAATCATAAATTCAATATGAAGCCATATTTCCCGTGTGACTCGGATCAATGCAAAGTACAGATTGCAAAGCACACCGATCACACGTCACAGAAGACAGCTAACATACTTGTGCTTACACACACACACACACACACACACACACTCACCTAGGTGCACATCTATACATTCCTCAGCACACAAGCACTGTTGTTTTACATAAGCACTGAAATCCTGGCGGGTGTTTGTGATCATGTCCGTTCACTCGTATGTGTGTTGGTGCATGCATGTGTCAATGATGCCCAGCTGACTGAAAGGGAGAGGCCAGACACTGCAGTGAATTATTAATTACAGACAGTCGGCATACGAGATGGATGGAGAGGTAAACGAACAGAATGAAAGCCATGGTGACACGAAGGAGAATGAATGAGGGATAAAGGGTGAACTCCCCGACGCCGTACTCACGTGAGTTCTCGCAGCTGACAGAAATAGAGGGATGAAAAAATAAAAAGAAAGATACAGACAGGTCTCAGCG